TCTGTGTCACGAGTGGGATTCGAACCCACGACCTCAAAAGGTGGGGTTGAGATAGGAAGTTAGTGCCCGAGGGGATCGAAGTCACGATAGCTCAAGTGGTAGAGTAGCGGCGTATCAAACCGAAGGTCGTGGGTTTGAATCCCGCTCGTGACACTGACTTTTTATCTCAACTTAAAAACCTTAATTAATTGATTGTTTTTATTGGTTAACTTAGAAACAAAAATCTTCAATGCAGATTAGTCTAATTTGGTACAATTGAAAAGCAAAGCAGGTCAGAAAATGGTCAAAACTTGACCTCAAGGTCAGGTTTGTGATTCTAGCATTATAAAAATCTTAGATACCGACTTTCCTGGAAATTGGTGTAAATTAGTTTTTTGACGGATAATTTCAATGACCTTCTGAGACTGACATTCTTAGTACAAGCTCTAATTTTGTTTTTGAGTTCTCAAAAGCTAGTGGTTTTTCATGGCTGATAATACATTTTAAAGAAATGGTCAAGTCCATTTTATAACTATCAAATATTAAAATTGGACTATTGTTTTCATTTAACAAAATGAGATTAATTTTTGATAATCATTTGGCTATTTTGTGTATTTTTTTATAAAAATATTTTATTCATTTTTATGGTACATTCATTATTAAAAAGTTATGTTCTTCTTTTGAATGGTCAGTTTGATGTTAATATACTTTTAGCCATTTCAACCAGATGTTCCAATGACTTCTACAAAGTTGGAAAAATTTTAGAAGACAAAAAATCAATAAATTTAAATGCAAACGAAAATTTATATTTAGGGGTTTCTAGAGGTGCAAAAACAAAATTTCATATGTCTCATGAGAAAAAAAATTATTAAGTAAACTGGACAAAAAATTGAAATTTTTTAGTTAAATGATAAACTTTGATAGCTTGTAGTATGTGTTTTTATTGTAACTACATAAAAAAATGCTATAAAATGGTACATTCACACAGTTAATTTGAGCAAGAAAAAGGTGTGGGGGGGAAACAGAAAATTAAATTTTTTTTTGAAACCTGGGCCTATTAACAAGAAGTCGTGGATACGTGTCCGAAATTTTGGAGTGTAAAATCACCAAAAAAATGTTTGCTCCAAATTCGTGACCCCTCCAACCTGGTCACCCCTTGCAAAAATAAAACTTTTTACCTAAATATGTTTTATTATTTTCCAGTTAACTCAGAACTTAATTATAGTAAGAAAGTTTTTTTTAACGCTTTTATTTAAAAAGAAATATTTTGGTTGAGAACTCAAAACGTTGCATCAGAATCCTTTCCACCCTCTTGGATTATTTTCCCACGCGTTGTTTAACCATCAGAACCTAGTATTGGTGAACATTTCCAACACCAAGTTTTCCCGGATGTCATCAAATTATTTTGACTTTCTTAGAAATGTTGTCAACCCCTTGCTGACATCTGTATGGCTGAGCGTATCCCTCTCATGATTATAAGGTGAAAAAAAAAAGTAAAATCGTTTAGAAGAATCAACATCAGAACTACCACAAGTTCAATCACATTCTAGAATATATACGTTTTACATCTCTTCAATTAAATGCCGAGAGTCAAACCCAGAACTGCAAGCGTTGCAAATACGAGTCAGAATCCTTAACCACTTTGCCATCATGGTTCCTTACAAGGAAATTGTATATGAAGATGTCTACCGCAAAAACGTATCAATGTTTAATAACTAAAATAAATTTCTATATTCTGCTTGCTATAGTTTTGTTCGTACTATCAAGCATCACTCATCAAAATTTTCCGAGGATTTATTTTATTTTTTATTATTATTTTTGACAATCTCTGATCATAATCGGCCTATTTTTGATGGGTTTTGAATGCAAAGACCAGCGAAAACAGACCATGATGATCAGATAAATAAATATTTTCTTATAGACTTATTTTTTAATATTTGTACAAAAATTGTGCTACATCAGGTCCAGGAAGGAATAGACGATTAGATAGACATTTTAATTTGTAGTGTTTAATTAAAAAATTTAACATCAGTTTAATTATAATTTATTTGAGTGCTTTGTCTTAGTATTGAATTAATTTAGAAAATCTTTGATTGCCTGTTGATATCTGCGTGGTGATGGACTTGTAGTTTTTGGTCGTTTCATGTCATCCTTGATCTGCCTATCCTACTGAAGTCATCTGACAGGCAGACATCAAGGGTAGGTAGATAAAGATGACTGTAAACAACCTAACTACAAGGAAATTTATATTTTATGAACAAATTAGCTTTTACCCGTGACTTCGTCCACGCGGGACTCTGTTTTAATGAAACTTTCTAATGCGATGCAGTGCTAGTATAGCTCTCTAATATAATGTCTCCATTAAGAATCGAATTTAAGCCCTTTAGATCCAGCGGTTTGGTCTGTGCATTTCTCTCAGTCACAACTGTTTAATATGTATAGATAAAACAAAATAAAAATCTAACAAACCAGCAATAAAAGAAAGAACAATTTGAAAATAAGAATGTAAGAATACAATATATACACACAATATGTTACAAATGTTAAGTATAAGGAAGAGCAGGTTTATTTATTTTTTAAGTAACTGTAATTTTACCTGTGCTAAGACAACAAATTTCAGAAGTACAAAAAGATCTAAATTTAATATTTCAGACCAATTGAAAAGCATAATTTTATTTAATTCTTTATTATGGGAGAATGAATGTGTGAATGTAACTGATTAGCGTGAATTGAAAACCCCAATTACCTCAAAGGATATTGAGTACTTGAGATAATGTGAATGTTAATTTATTAAATTGGACTTGAGCTATCGTGACCTCGATCCACTCGGACATCAACTCCCCATCCCAACCCCACCTTATGAGTTTTCCCTCCTTTTGCCATTTTTCAAATGTCGTGTAATCGATTTGGATTCTCGACGACAATTGAAATGGCGACGGAGAGCTTTAGTGAAGTGTACTTAATTTTAATTCATTAAATTCACTAATTTCGTGGTCCGCTTGACCAATTAATACTTTACAGTTAATTAAGGTTTTTAGTTGAGATGAAATGTCCGAGTGGATCGAGGTCACGATAGCTCAAGTGGTAGAGCAGCGGCGTATCTAGCCGAAGATCGTGGGTTCGAATCCCTCTCGTGCCATTAACTTTTTTTCATCTCAACTAAAAACCTTAATTAATTGTAAAGTTAATTTATTAGCGCGAATGAAGGGGCTTATTGCCAAATATCCCCTCCAAGGAATATAGATACTCTGGTGTAGTAAGAATGAACGTTAGAGTGTAATTTATTAGCGTGAATTAAGGGGCTTATCCCAATGACGCCGAGGAATATCGAGTTATGTAGGGTAGTGAGAATGTGTGAATGTAATTTATTAGTGTGAACTGAGGGGCCTACCCCCAATCACTTCAAAGGATATTGAGCACTTGAGATAATGTGAATGTTAATTTATTAGCGTGAATGAAGGGGCTTATCGCCAAATATCACCCCAAGGAATATAGAGTACTCCGGTGTAGTAAGAATGAATGTGAGACTGTAATTTATTAGCGTGAATTAAGAGGCTTATCCCCAATTTCCTCGAGGGATATCGAGAACTCTTGGGTAGTGAGAATGAATGTTAATTTATTATTAGCATGAATGGAGGGGCTTATCCCAATTACACCGAGGAATATCGAGTTATCTAGGGTAGTGAGAATGTGTGAATGTAATTTATTAGCTTGAATTGAGGGGCCTACCACCAATTACCTCAAAGGATCTTGAGTACTTGAGATAATGTGACTTAATTTATTAGCGTGAATGAAGGGGCTTATCGCCAAATATCACCCCAACGAATGTAGAGTACTCTGTGTAGTAAGAATGTTAATTTATTAGTGTGAATGAGGGGCTTATCCCAACTACACTGAGGAATATTGAGTAATCTATAGTATTGAGAATGAATGTGAGAATGTCAATTTATTAACGTGAATGAAGGGGCTTATCCCAACTACACTGAGGAATGAGTAATCTAGAGTAGTGAGAATGCTAATTTATTAGCGTGAATTGAGGGCTTATCTCTAATTACCTTGAGGGATTCTACTGTAGTACTGAGGATTGTGTGAATGTTAATTTATTAACGTGAATGTAGGGGCTTATCCCAACTACACTGAGGAATATTGAGTAATCTAGAGTAGTGAGAATGTTAATTTATTAACGTGAATGAAGGGGCTTATCCCCAAATACCCCAAGGAATATTGAGTATTTTTGCATAATGTGAATGCTAACCAGACTACCATGTTTTAATCTTGTCCCTATATATTTGTGTTATTTTATTCACAACTGATGTTCAGAGGGGTTAGCAATAGGCTAAAGAAAAGAGAGTTTTTACTGTTATATCATAAAACATAACTTGACTGGAGAAACTGTAAAAGAAATTGCTATGAAATGTGAGAAAGGTAAGAAAAGTAGGCAAAGCTGATAAATAGAGGGCTGGCAATGACCAATTTAGTTTACCAGCCCAAAAACTAAATCTAACTATCCCTAACCTACTTATTATCAGAAATCCAAGAACATATTTGAAATTGAATAAAAACAATTACTGTTATAATTTCTTGATTGCATTAAATCTTACACTTGCTAAAAAGATGAGTTACAAATTAATTATCGGCAGGATACTTGAGCTAGGGTTTTGGTTTTATGTTAATAAAAATTTTAAAAAAACTACAAATGATTATATACTCAACAAGGCAGTGTTAAATTTGCATAAGAATAACCCAAATTACCAATTTTTGCTTTCTATTGGTAATCAAATCAAAATCCTAAATAAAATTCCAATATGAAACCATAAGTGATCAATTGTAGCACGGTTTGTCTAAAAGGTTCAAGAATCAATTAAAAACAACAGAAAAACCTTCACTGAGAAATGTATAAATGGGCTGGAAAAATCAAAGTGACTGTACTAAATTAAATAGTATTTAATTACAAGAATTAAAAATACATATTTTTGTCCTTTAAAATATTACATATTTACAAAAATTTATTTACAAAATTCTATTAACTACAATGTTTGTTTTTTCCTCTTTCTTAGAAAAATGTGTAAAATTAAAAAAAAATATGGGGATCTTTGAAAACAACCCCCAACTCTGACGCTCTATATAAATGCACCTTGCTATTCGTACTGTTTGATCAAATAGTCAAGAGTTGGTAATTAAAAAGTTAGTAGGGATTTTTAAGCTTTATCAATGCCTACTCCGAATTCGAACTTCGTCATAAGAATCCCTATGTTTTGTTCTTGACTTTTTCTCAGAAGTATAATATTTATCATAACTACCTGAGCGAGCACCCGGACTTCTTGATCGAGAGCGATACCTCGATTTATCCCTGAAAGAGAAAAAACAAAAAGAAAATTAACATATTTATGTAAAAGTTAAGGGAATTGGATCAGGAATCAATCTGAAAGAAAATATTGGAAATCAATTTCATAAAAACACAATTTTGGTAAAATAAATGCCAACAAAAATTCAGTTTAATCACCTGGAATGCTTGGAGGAATGTCTCGGAGGAGAAGGGCTCGGGGTGTAACTCCTCCTTATCCTGTGTTTTTTGCTGCTCCTCCTCTCGGCAGACCTTGAACGTCCCCTACTACAATTTTAAAAATATTATGTAATAAAATTATTAAAACAGTTTAAAGCAACATAATGAAAAATATAATGCTTTTAATTTTCCAAAATGGATCCAATTCTACTTTCATAACACAAGATAACAACTTTAATATTATAATAGCTGCGCTAATATTTTAGGATTTTTAAAAATAAATAAATATACAGTGATCTCTCAGTAATCCGAACTATTTGCTGCAGGGGAGTATTCAGAATCAGATATTTTTCAATATTTTTCAGAGTTAAAAAATACATATGTACAAAAAAATTAACAAAACGCTATTAATTATACACTTTATTACATTTTCTTCATTAATTTGTTGAAGTAGTGAGGAATGGTCAGGGATGAACTATTTTAGAAAAACCCTTTTTTTCTTTTTTTTCTGACGTTTTGACCTTTATTCGGGTATCTTCAGGACATAAAGTTGCTATTCTTGTGGTGTTGTTTGTTTCTCCTTGGTTAAAACTTTATATTATTTACAACTGTATAGTATTTTTTTTTTTTCTAATCAACATGTTTTGCAATACACCAAGGCACTGAAGATGACCCGAATAAAGGTTGAAATATCAACAAAAAAATGAAAAAAAAAGGTATTTTTACAAAACTTGTCATTACTGACTACTTCAAAGAATTATATTGAGCAACCCTAAACTACACACATTTTCTTCATTGCTTCTTCCTCTTATTCACTCATTGTTAAGCAGTAGGTATATTATACTCAACTCTGAAAAAAATTTAGACTGACCTAACATTTCATTTTTTAATAGTGGAGGGAAGTGAGGGATTCATTGAAGAAAAGGAATTCTCAAAAATTCGTAGTCCATGGCCTGTTTCACACTTATCTGGAAGTTGGATAATTATTGGGAGGAATGGGAACGACCATATCAATCTCCCTACATCAGTTGTGCCGAGCGCCTGTGCTGGATAATTTTCCACTTTTTAGAGCTATAAGCAAAAATCCTGAATTTGCCATTGACATCATTAAATGCGTTTTTTACACAATTTTGTTCTAGAAAAAAAGTGTAGTCTAACACAACACTATCGAGAAGTTGACTGCGTGCGAGGAGGAATGTCAACAAATAATGTCAGAAAAATGATTTTACCTCCACTGTTTCAAATAAAAAAATGGCAGTTTTCTAAGATTTAATGTGTCAACAAAGCATCAACAATACGGTGTTTATTATTTGTAGTATTTTATATTCTTGGATTATAACATATAAAAAATATTATTAAGTACCAGTGTTGTTAGTGTATTGGTTTCTTTCTTTTCCCTCCATTTCTTTAAATCTATCATTAATTTCTTGGAATATGCCAATCTAAGCACGTAACCATTCTGTTTTTATAGTCGCTTTGAGTTTTGTCCTATAAAATTATCACCACTCTCTCATGTTCATTCATTTATTCACTCTCTCCACACTTGCTCACTCTCCCTTACTCTCATTCTCTCTCTTTCTTTTACGCTTATTCATTCACTCACTATCTCTCATGTTCATTCATTTATTTTATTCACCCTCCCTCCACACACTCACTCACACTCCTTTACTCTCATTCTTTCTTTCTCACTCTTTTGCACTTATTCATTCACCACTCTCAAGCTCATTCATTCTCTCTCCACACACTTGTTCTTACTCTCTCACTCTTTTACACTTATTCATTCACTCACCACTCTCTCAAGCTCTTCCTTTATTCACTCTCTGTCCACACACTCACTCACTCTCCCTCACTTTCATTCTCTTTCCCTTTTACTCTTATTCATTCGCTCATTCAATCACCAATCTCATTCATTCATTCGCGCTCTCTCTCCACACACTCACTCACTCTCTCTCTTTTACACTTATTCATTCACTCACCACTCTCTCATGTTCATTCATTTATTCACTCTCTCCTCACACTCACTTACTCTCTTTTTCACTTATTCATTCACTCACTCACTTACTCTCATTCAATCACCAATCTCTCAAGCTCATTCATTCATTCGCGCTCTCTCTCCACACACTCACTCACTCTTACTCTCATTCTCTCTCTCTTTTACACTTATTCATTCACTCACCACTCTCTCATGTTCATTCATTTATTCACTCTCTCCACGCACTCACTTACCCCATTCTCCCTCTTTTACATTTATTCATTCACTCACTCACCATTCTCTGAAGCTCATTCATTTATTCAGTCTCTCTTCACACACTCCCTTTCTCTCTATCTATTACTCTCATTCCCTCAGTCAACATTCTCTTTCTTACTCTAGTTCAATTATTCACTCTCTCTTTTATCTGACTCACTCTTCTTTTTTTCTCACATAAAATGTCTCTCATTCACTCCTCCCTTTAATAATGTTTCATTTGTTTCCTTTAACATATTTGTTACAGCTGTTGTTCTGAAGCGACGCACTAAACCCTCCCCGTGTAAGGACATCGTTCCAGAATGACACACCTCTTCTTGAAAAATCCCCGTTTCAAAGCTTGTTGTAAGGTGTTGGGGGTATTTTTGCTGTCGAATCTGAGTCAGTGAGCTTTAGCATCGCTTTGGCAATGTTACTGTGAAGACCGCTTTTGTAATTTTTAATTTTTTTTATTCAATCAAAATTTTCCCTGCACCTCACGAAAGAAAATCAGAGCCATAATGAACCTGTTGAAAATCTTACTTTCTTATTTTTTCCAGTTAGAATTACTTGAATGTTTTGAGTACCGAAGTTCAGACTAGATAGAGAGCACTGTATAATTGAGTCAATTTAAATAAACTAATTGAGAGGGCTTTGTTCAATGGGTAACTTTTAATGCTTCATCTACAATTTTTAATTTTATATTAACTTTAAAAAATTAAATGGAGAGTAGTATATAGACCCAAAATCTCAAATTAATAATAATTTGAATTTATCATGTTTACCTGTGTCCTTTTGATCGTTTATGCTTCGATGGGCTTCTACTATTTGATCTTGATCGACTTTCACTTCTGGCTTTCTCACTGCTATGATTATTTCGACTAAAAATATTAAAAATTATTAATGGTTGAAGTTTATATTTATGTAAATTTACTGTTTAATACAAAAATACCTCGGAGAATTGACACTGTTAGGCGAGTTGTTCCCTGACGTGATTCCTTTTAATTTTTGTTTAGACTCTTGATATTGTCTTTTCAGATCTGCTACTTTCTTTTCAAGCTCTTCCACATTCACCTTTAATACAAATTTTAAAAATTATTAAATTATAAAGTTGCAGATTAAGATACACACTTACTTTTGATCGTTTGTATAAAAGAAGTATTCTATGGCAAATGTCAAGTATTTGGGCTTCGGTTACTTTAAATATTCCAAACCATGGCGGTACTTTTGGAAGGCAGATTTCCAGATACCTGGCACTTAAATAAACACAAGCACAGGCTATTGTTTCCGGGTCATACCTCATAAAAACATCACTTCTTAAAGCGTCATTCATGTAATTCCTAGAAAAACAATTCGGTCAATATTTTAGCTTATTTTTACAACTTAACCGGCATACCAGGAAAGTTGCATGAAGTTTTTATGCTTCTCAAAACCCAGTACTTGAAGGTACATTACTATAACCTGGAAAAATGTTAATTAATGAAAAATGGCATATTCGACAGAGAATTGTTCACATTACCTTATGGGGATGTTTGACGTGAACACAAAAACCGAGCTCCTTTAGGACCCTTCTCTCTGCTTTAATTACTTCAGTTTTCAAATCAATGTAGTGTTGGTCCAAAACCATTGGGGATATTGGCCTAAACAAAGCAACACATTTTCTAAACTGTGCACACACACAAAAAAAAATCATGCGTTCTGTTTTTAAACTTTACTGGCTCAAAAAATAACAAAAAAAATCCTTTCTGTTAATTGTTAAAAAAATAAAACTTGCTATTGACAATTTAAAATAAGTGTTAAATTACTATTAATAATTAACCTAGGCAGGAAATTAAAACAACATTGACCAATACAATAAATAAATAAAAACATGTAAAAGATTAAAAATTGACTTTGACTGTTTTGTAGAGCAAACATTAATTGTTCTAAAATTAATTATTTGTTTTAATCCACCCTTGTTTTAATAAGAAAATAACCTTTTAACATGTATTTTTAGTCGATAGATATCAATATAAAAATATAGATATAAAAACTTGTTTACAAAAATAAAATAAAAAATAATGATATGCCCAAATTAAACAACAAAAATAAACTACAAAACAAAAACAAACAAAAAATTTAAAACATCGAGCTCAATACATTTTAAGTTTTTTATAAATTTGATACATCGTTAATGCAAACACAATGTATGATGATAAAGAGTAAAATTTCTAAATAATTAATCGGGTTTGTTCCATTTCCATGTCCTCGACATCCTGAATGATTCGTAATCCCACAAATCAGTTCATTTCGATAATCCTCAATCTTGAAAAGTCCAACACTAACAAAATTTGAGAGTACATCACAAAATGTATTTAGACTAGTACGTGAATACCATCAGTTTATATTGATTTTTTTAAAAGAATCCATTGATCAAAGTTTCCGCGAAATCAAGTCAGATAAAGGCAGCCTTGGTCTCCGTCTGCCTCAGCGATTCAGCTCTTGTTTAAAAATTAAAATATGAGTTTTAATACAAACATCACTACGATACACTTTACACAAACGCTGGAAAATATTTAAAAGAAGAAGAAAAAAAAGTTAAATTATTTTGACCTAGAGTATCCCTGGAAAAATAAATGATCACAGAAATGTTTTTGCCATGGTTTTTCCTTACCATTACAATTGCAAAATGTTTTAACCTGTAAACACAATTTTTTTCTACTTTTATTTATCAAAAAACCACGTCACTGTTCACTTTCACTGCTGGATTCTTCTCTTGTCCTTATTAAGTAGCTGGGTGCCCAGTTTTCATTGTCAGTTTATAAAAGTTCTTGTAATAATTCCATCCATAATGCTTCTTGCTCCAAATGTTGTAAGCTACGGAAGACTTTGTTAGGGAGACACAAGAAATAAAAACATTTATCATGGTGCATAAAAACATTGAACAAATTTTAAAACATTATTACCATACATACCACCCTGCACTCCAGACATCATTATTATTTTATTTTTATTTTTTTTACAAAGAAAATAATCTAAACTTTTTCAATATTAGCTAAAAAATATCTGTTTAATAAAGTCAAGAAAATTATTAAAGAATAAGATCAATTAGCAAAATACCGTTGTCATCTTTATTATTTCTTTTCATTTGTGAAGACCCCTCGGTGTTTATTTTTTATAACAATCATTTCATTTTCATGAAAACCATTTTGAATATAGAATTATCTCGGTCCTGATAAATTTATTTATTTGTAGATTGTCGCAAATGTGTAACCATCATGCGACCCTCTAAGCTTGTTATTAATAGGGAAGGTGACAACGTGGGTTTAGGGTGGACGGTCGCCGACCATATTGGCTGCTCGCCAGTCACTCTCCCTTAGTCACGCTGTCAATACCATCTGCGAACGGAACCCCAAAAAAACATTTGAGCAAAAGTTCAACTTTTGGACATAATAAAACATAAAGAAAATAACATCTATATTTATAATACAAATACATATTGAATTGCTGCCTGAGTTGTTTAACCTATTACTAAGTGTAAAAATGCATATAAAAACCAACCAGCCTACAAATAATAAAATTACATATATACTTACTTATTTCTTTAAAGAAATCATAAGGTATGTCAAGAAACCGTCTAAAACAATGTAATCTAACATGATAAATATTCTTAAAAACGAATATGATGTAATGATTAAGAAAAATATTAAAAGAAATATCAATGTAATATTAACCTTTACACAAAAATCAGTTCACTTGATAGAATAAAAAAATAAAAAAATGATATTATTTCAGCCAGCCAAATGTACATCTAAAAATAAACTTATCTTCAAACGAGTGCCAGACAATCAAAATCCAATTCTCAGAATAATTTTAGTCCGAGTATGCATAGAATCAATTGGAATTAAAGAATTTGTTTGAATTGAAAATACAAATATTTAGGTATTTCAAGGTTTTTGATATTACAGAGAAACTCTTGAGAACAGGTAGAGAGTACAGATAAGAAACCAATTATCTTAATCCTGTGGGGTTCAAAACCACATTTTCCGGTGGAATGAACATTTTACTTTTTAAACCTCCCCCCCCCCAAAAAAAAAGGTTGAAAAGCACAGTTACAAATCGGAGATGAGTAAGTACAACTTGACGTTTTATAACAATGCATAGTATTTAGAAGTACGTTTATAAATCCCAGGCACTGAAGATGATCTAGATACAAGATTGAAATGTTGGCACGCTAAAGAAAATGTTTTTCTAAACCTACATCGCACCATACTGCATCTCACGATCTCTAAATTATAAAAAATAAATTTTATAAAAATATTGTACTGGTAATTTCGAGTGGAAAATCTCAATAATAAAATGTATTTTTAATGTCAAAAATCATAGTCACACTAAATAGCAAAAAGAGGTCTTTTAAATTAAAATTGGGTTTTGTTTAATTTAAATGGCCCTTAAATTCATAAAACTAGTTCAATTTAGCCAATGTTCTTTAACATTTTAATTTCTCAGCTGGCAAAACCCCACTTTTTTGGCCACTTGTCTTTAGGCTTTGAAAGGATGTTTCTAAGTGAACACGTACCTCTAAACCTCTAAAAGCTACTCTAAAACATGAGTCCGACTGTTCCTTTTTTTAAAGAGTTAATTTGTTTATTTCTTTACTAGCAACCTATCGATAATCATTTCTTGATATCCATTGTTTTTAGCTAAAGTTTTAATTGTTTGTAATTCTTTTTTATAGTTAGTAAATGGGAGGTTCGGCATACGGTCTATGAGCCAAATGAAAACCAGCAGCTTTTTGGGTCCATGGGTAAGAATCTGTTGGTATCATGGAGCATGCTCAGCATTCGTTGAATCCTGCATATCTGGAGCCACCTTTTCACTAATCATAAATTCCCCTACTGACTAAAACAGTGAGGATAGGTAGACTAAACGAAACGCCTGACTTCAAGAGATTTCATCTAAAGGTAGCTCTAGATATGCAGGATTCGCCGAATGGCAAGCAAATGTTCGCTAAATCCTGACTAGTGGGGATGGGTGCTCAGTTATTCCCCAAGCAACAATATTCGTGAAGTAGCCGAACTTCATCCAAAGCATCCACATTCAGGAACCAATTACGTACAAATACATTGGGTTGGAAACGAAGTTAGAAATCCATTTTTCTATGAGGAGTTGGCTTCTTTGATGTGGATAGGAGCCGACAATGGGGAAAAAATGGGTAATGGTTCGTCATACAGGCCTGGTTAGCCTTTCAGGTTTATTTAGATGCGGATAATTATGTAAAGGAGGAGCAAATTGTTGAAGAATTAGACTCTATAGAATTGTTTGATATGTGGAATGTAACGATTTGAATTTGATTGATATCATATCTATGACTGAATAAACCTAAAATTTTTATCAACTTATAAATTAATTTTCACATTTGACATGTATTTGTATAATTTAAACAACGTTTATAAATCCCAGGCTCTGAAGATGATCTCAAAAGATTGAAACGTTGGCATGACAAAGAAAACGTTTTTCTAAGCCTACATCACACCAGACAGCATCTCGTGATCTCTAAAGCCTAGTACGCACTGGGATTCGTTGTTTGGATTCTTTGTCACAGAGGTGCATCTGGGATTCATTTTCTTGTGGCCAGGACACTGCGCGACAATGAATCTTGAATCTGGTGTGTTGCGTTTTACTATTTTTTGAATCCCATCGTAAATGGGATTCTTTACTCAATGTTGTGAAACGTGAATCAAACCAAATGGACCTCTCAGCCATTCTCGTGCATTGCATGTTTTATTTTTTTCTTCACTTTTGTTAAAGTGTGGATTCCACTTTACAGCTGATTTTAGATTTGCAAATGCGGTGATGTCTGTGGGACGTTTCCTCAGAGGAATACAAAGACGGGGGAAAGAAAGCGGACACTGTGGTTGCCCAAAAATATGAAGTTAGTCTACACTTGCGAGGAAACTTAGAGCAAATTGCTAGCCTATTGATAGTAGAAACTGACACCCTAAAATTCGTCACATTTTTTGCAATGCATGGTCCAACCATTTCCAAATGACATTTGAAGTCAACAGGACTAATCTAAACAAAATTTCGGAATCCCTTCAAATCTCAGTGTCAAGAAGATTGCGCCCATTCTTATACATGATCCTTGAATATCCGAATTCACCAACATGGTGGCTTTTTGTTAGTTCTTTTTTTTACTCTGTAGAGCTAGTTAAGGTGGTACTACAATCCCTGAGAGCGTGGCCTCGCTCAACATGGCTCAGACTCAAACTAGATGTGAACACAATTTCTGGAGGAACAATGCCGCGGGGTGGAGTCTGCGATAGAGTCCGAACAAAGAATTCCAGTGTGTACTAGTCGTTAATAATCATTAATTAACAGTCACTATACCACACATTTATATATGTTAACAATTTTTTCCCATCGTACCATCGCATAATTCCAATATACATGTTGACATATAACGGCTTTTTGTTGGTTTTAACTAGAAAAATCTGAAATTAAATCGACGAAAACTCAGACAGCAATAGATGAAAAGAAACAAAAAACAGAAAGGATAAATAAAAATGTGAGCCAAAAAAAACATGAAAAAATGTGAAATCGTGTAAATCAAGTTATATGAAATGTTCAAACACAACGATAATTAAACGCTAAATGAAATTTTCAGTTACAATTAGACATTAGAACAAAAGAAAATGATAAAAATATATTTTAATACACCTGCAAACTGTGCTCCTCATTACTGAAGTTTGAAGCAAGTGAAACTTTTTTTTAAATTAAGAAATCATACCTTTTTGTTGTTTACTGACGATTTTTTTTAAATATTGTTATATTATGTACATATATATTTTTTATATAGCTGAAATGCAATCGTGAATATGAAAAGTATTTGGGTGTTTTCCAAGAACGAAAGCATGTAATTTTTTTTTTTTTTAAAGGTTGGTTTTTGAAGAAAAGTGAAAATTGATGTTGCTCTCGTTCAAAGAAAAGCAATAATTAAAGATTTCGGTACTCACTTTTGAGAATTGACTTGTCGGATATGGTGAAAAACGTTAATAACGTCCCTTATTCTCCTGGGAGCTTCCTCGATTTTCGAAGCGAGGCAGACGCATGCCATGGCAGTCGTCTCCATGCTATGCCTCACAAACGACTTTGAATAATAAAACCTTTGGAACAACACTTGACCAGTGGCCATAGCGACCTGAGGATTGCGAGAGAGAAAAAAAATAAATAAAAGAGAAAACGTCAGGAGATTTAGATGTATATTTTGATGTATGTTACCTGAGGAAGCTTGAGGAGGATTCCGGCTGTTTGTATAAGCTCGCATCCGAGGACTCGAGAGTCGGTCTCCGTCTCTTGATCCATTCCGTCCAATTTGGACGGCGTCGTCGTGAGCCTCTCTTCCGGGAGGAGGACGTTGTTGAGCGAGAGCTCGATCTTCCCGTACGGCTTGACGATCGGCTTTGCCGCGTTGGCCGAATTGTTTTCCGCCTTTTGCAAGCCCATTTCCGAGAGGATGAGAACAGGTCGAAAGTGGAAAACTCTCCAAGTGGGGAAAAAGTGGAAAAACGCTCGGACGACGGATCGGAAACGAGCCGCTGCGACGGGGTGAGACAATGGCGGCCTGTTGGGTCGGGCTCACGACGAACGGGAAAATGGCTTTCACGATCGCAGACATGAAAAATCCACATGAAGCCAATGCCTTCTCGATCCGCCCTTACACAAACTTCAAAAAATCATCAATTATTATATTTTATCGAATAAACATACATTTAAATATAATACATATTTAGTCATAGTACATAATTATTTCATCTAAACGGAAAATATTCAAGAATACTGTAAACTTTAAAAATAACTTCCACTCTAATCAAAAACTTCAGTGAATACAACAACATTTATACAAGAAAAAATATATAATACAATGCTACATATTTAGTACATAGTACATAAACAAAAATTTCATTGAATACAATAATACTTATATAAGAAATAATACATAAAATAGTCATATAAAAACATATTTAGTATAAGCACATAATTATATAATACGCTACAAACAATCATCAATTATTATATTTTATCAAATAAACAGACATTTAGATGTAATACATATTTAGTCATGGTACATAATTATTTCACCAAAACGGAAAATATTCAAGGATACTGTAAACTTTAAAAATAACATCCACTCAATTCAAAAACTTCAACGAACACAATAACATTTATATACAAGAAAAAATATATAATATAATACTCCATATTTAGCCATAGTACGTAGAACATAAAAATAACAACTCAATTCAAAAATTTCAATGAATGCAATAATACTTATATAAGAAATAATACATAAAATGATCATATAAAAAACAAAAATACAAATAAAAAACGTAATTAATATTAGCGCATAATTTATAATACACTACAATAATCAATTATTATATTTTATCAAATAAACAGTAACAACATAAAAAATATATAATACAATGCTATAATTTAGTACATAGTACATAAACATAACTACAACTCAATTCAAAAATTTCATTGAATACAATAATACTTATATAAGAAATAATACATAAAATAGTCATACAAAAACATATTTAGCATAAGCACATAATTATATAATACGCTACAAACAATCATCAATTATTATATTTTATCAAATAAACAGACATTTAAATATAATACATTAGTCATAGTACATAATTATTTCATCTAAACGGAAAATATTCAAGGATACCGTAAACATTAAAAATAATTTCCACTCTAATCAAAAACTTCAGTGAATACAATAACATTTATACAAGAAAAAATATATAATACAATGATTATATTTAGTACATAGTACATAAAAATAACTTCAATTCAAAAATTTCAATTAATACAATAATGCTTATATAAAAAATAATACATAAAATAGTCATATAAAAAACATAAATACAAATAAAAAAACGTATTTAATATTAGCGCATAATTATATAATACACTACAATCATCAATTATTATATTTTATCAAATAAACACTTTTAAATATAATACATATTTAGTCATATTACATAATTATTTCATCCAAATGGAAAATATTCATAGATAATGCAAACTTTCAAAATAACAACTCATTTCAAAAACTTCAATGAATAAAAACACTTTATTTATTAAATAATATATAATACAGTCATATACTAAATAAACACAAATAAAATACGTATTTAGTAATAGTACATAATTATATCATTTAATTATTTCATCCAAATGGAAAATATTCAAAGATAATGTGTGGTGTTTAGTGAGTGTTAATTAATTATTATTCATAGATTGTGAGATCAGATCGTCACACCAGACCGCATTTCACAATCTCCAAATAATTATTCATAGATAATGCAAACTTTCAAAATAACTTCAACTCAATTCAAAAACTTCAGTGAATACAATAACATATATAAAAGAAAAAATATATAGTACAATACTACATATTTAATCATAGTACATAAGTATTTCATCTGAACAGAAAATATTCACAGACATTGTAATCTTTAAAATAATTTCAACCGAATTCAAAAATTAATCCATTTATATTTAGTGGTCTAACTAATTGACCAAATAACTTATTTCAATTAATAGTTGAGATGAAAAAGTTAGTGCTACGAGCGGGATTTGAACCCATGACCTTTGGCTCAATACGCCGCTGCTCTAACCACTTGAGCTATCGTGACTTCAAAAATTTCATTGAATACTTATATAATAATTGATATATAAAACGTCATATACTAAACATAAATAAAATGCATAATTATACAATCTCAAAAAAAAAAATTAATTGATGGATCTTAAATGATGAGAGGCTGTTCATCAAGCACAGATGGAATCCCCAAAAAGTTCTTTAAAAAAACAACTATGTCTATTACTATATCCCATTAATATCCCTATTTGGATATATAATTAAGTGAAAACTGAAATAAATGGATTAAAAAATAAATAAATAAAACAACATTTTTTATTATTTAACAAATTATACATAGGTAAGATCGAAAAAATATATAAATGAATTAAAAACAAAACAATATAATACTAGAAGACATTTTTCAATTCAAATTTGTCATCAATAAAGTTATATCCAATTAACAAATTTATATATTCTTCAAGCCAATTCTTAAATTGTTCAAGAGTAACATCCATCTGTAAAATAGAACAAATAAATAATTTGTATTTATGTGTATTTTATTGTTACCTGTTTAACGTATTGAAATGAATCGGTTCCATTGACATCCCGTTTTGGTGGTTCCTTTAGCACGCACGGTCCAAACAACGAACTTATGGTTTCTTCATATAGGAAAATCACCGCTATCACGTCTTCATCGGTTACGATACTCCGCATAGAAATTCTAGCGTGAGCCTCTGCCAATGACGATCTACGCAATTTAAATTGTCACATCGTCTCTTGAAGCACATATTTTTCAATTTTTAAATTTTACATAATTTTGATCGATTTTACAGGCAGAGCCTCTGGCCTTTCTCTCCGGCTTGCGACAAAATAATTCCGAATTAGTTCGACTGCGGTAGGGGATATTTCAACGACTTGGGCCGATGCCAGCTCAACTATCTAACAAATTGATCATTTTAAATATAATTTTTTACATTAATCATTTAATATTTTAATGAAAATTTACAATAATTAAACAGAATAATTCTATATTAAACTATTTTAAATTAAAAATAAACCTTTCCTATTTACTTCTTTCAGTATTGATTGATCTAGAATTGTGTCGTTATTGAACAAAATTGATCCCGCTGCTTCATTCAACAAACAAGTGGAAATAATTTCATCAGTACTTCCTATATAAGAAAGAAAAGGTAAGCCAAAAACACTAAAAAACAAAAATAAAATGTTTAGTTGACATGTAGCATGTTTAAGTAATAAACACTAAACTTTATCAGTGTTTTTAGATGATTGATTTCCTGCTGTGATTTGTTATGTAATGTCCAGTGAGTCCAGACTGCAGATTGCAACGGATAGGTCAATATTGACGGTTCAAAAGTGGAACAGATAGTTTTATGGCACAGAGTAATCTTTTCACTTTCCACTGCTGCCATATTTAAAAAAAAAAAAAATAAAAACACGTAATTTAAATTTAAATGTCAAAGGCACTCACCGGAAGCGATTTGTTTAAATTTTAATGAATTAATTTTGGGGACATTTCCAATATAGAGAATCCCTTGAGATGCTAGAAGGAGAGGCCCGGCTTCAAGCCAGACGCCGTTTGCTTCCATTACGACCTCTCCCGTCGGTGAGGTTGAAAGTGAAACTATCGAATTCACACCAAATCTGCTTAGTCTGCAAGCAGAACTCATGACCTTGTCGCAGTCTCCCAGCGCCAATATCGGCACAGGAAATTTTCCATACTGTTTATTAAAAAAAAAAAAAATTGAAAGAGCGTCATAAATTATATATTAATTTATATTTACCACTGAGGCAAGGCTTAAGAGAAGGCCAGTTTTTAATTGGGTAAATGCCGAAACAGGATAAGATTCGACGTATAACTGAGACGCTAAAAAATTCACAATGCACCAAGGGGAGCCACCACACAACTCCCTTAATTTAAAGCAGGTTTGCAAACTAGTTTTGCAAAAAAAATCTATTACCTTATTTCATTATATACTGCAATAATTTTAGGAGAAACTGGTAAATATATTTGGTTAATTGTATGCTGTACTCTTTGGATTCCCAATGCACACAAACCATTTTGTACTCTTTTAACTACAACACTATAGCGAATTCCAAGAACAAGGTCTGAACATAGATCATCTAAAATGATAGACATATTTTGAAAAATTTTAATAATCCTTGTTGAATTATTTGCATCAACAGTTCAATTAATACACACTGCTTCAAGTGGAATTTTGATTTATATTTTAATTTGATAATGTTTTGAACATATTTTTTTGTTTTACTTTAAAAATGATTTAGTAATTATAATTGGACGGAAAGTATTTGATTGTTGACGATTGTAAGGCAAAACTGCTTAATTCTTAAGATGATTTAAAATCTCCACATTGCAAGTCATCAAGGGCATTTAATTCTTTAAAAATGCCATTATTCACTATTGTACTGGGATGAAACAAAACAATTATGAAAAGCCAATAATCAGCAAATTGTTCGTGCCATTGCACTCGTGAGGATGTAAGAAATCAGTGTTACACTGCGAGAGTGTTACATTTGCCTAAAATAACAGTTGTCAGGCACAGCGGTACGAGGAGTATGCATTGTCAGAGACCAGAGATGGGATGCCCAAGAGTCAGGGGACCAGCTGATGGCTGTTTTGTCAGATTTCACAATCTGAGACGTCGCTTTTCCACTGCTTCTGAAATGTCTGAAAGACTTCGAACTATTCTGATTCAGATCTGACCATTAGTGCTGAAACCAAAAACAGACTTGCAGAAGTCATTCTACATCCCAGAAGGCCATCAATGGGTCCAGCGATCATAGTTGAAACCAGTTAGCGTTTGAAATAGAAACCAACTTTAGGCAGAATGAATGAAGAAATATGTTTTCAGATGATTTCCAGTTTTCTCTCTATTCACGAGATGGATGTCTTTGAGTTTATCGGCCAGCTGTAGAGCTCTAACAACATTGCTGAAAGAAGGTGGTTCAGTCATGGTGTAGATTGAAATTTTTTTTGCAGCAAAAACGGAGTTACACGTTGACACATGAAGAAATTCTCGAGGAATATGTGATGCCATTTGCTCCTGTTATTTGCAAGGAATTTTCGTTTAAGCATAGTAATGCAAGACCAAACTGCCGCCACCAGTGTTACGGAGCACATTCAAGATGTCAATATTTACACTCTAAGAATGCCAGCCTGTATCCCTGATTTGAATGCCATTGAGTACTTTTGGGACGAGCTCAGACTTTGTCTAAAACTAATAACCTCCTACGACCTTAACTGAGCTGAAGTTAAATTAATGAGATTTGGGATGAAATTTCTTAAGAAGTCGTTAAAGGCTTAATTATGAGTATGTTGAGAATATTAGAGTGTTTAATAAGAGCTGGAGGAAGTAATATATCCTATTCAAAATTTTTGTTTGTTTTATAATGTTTTATGTTCACACAAAATATATTTTTTATTTTTTTAAATTAATTTTTTTATTTTTGAGGGATATTTTTATTTTCACACTAACCGAATATGTTAATAAATACCTGAATTATTAAAAAAATCAGTTTTAGTATTATTGGAAAGGCAAGTACATAAAAAAATATCAAAATTTCAAAGTGTTCAGTTTTTGTTTTTAGAGCAGCTTAGAACAAACCTTGAAATTCAACAGATATCCCTTGGTATCTCCTTGCATCTGGAGAATTTAACAGCCCAGCTTTCATAAACGTACAAAAAACGTGATCACCAGAATTTCTAGCTTTGACTAATTCAGTTTTGTCTTTTCCACATTCTTGACATTTTGGCGGTGGCCTACTCCCAAATACGACCTGATGCTGGCCACCCCAACAACTCTCGGCCAGGCAGAAATAAACAGTGCTTCGCCTGAAAAATTTTTCACGGTAAAATTCAGAAAGGTTTAATGCCGAAACGCCTACATGTATTTACACACTGTGCTCCGGCCTGAAAGAATTCCACAAATGCTAAATAAACCCGTTTTTGAATTTGGCTGGAAATCATCTTCTGGTTTAAATGGAAGGCAAGAAATCCTAAGGTCAATGTTTATAAGGCTGGCATTCAAATCAATTCCAAATGATGTGTTGACACATTCTTGGAATATTTGCTTCAAAATCTCAACAGCTTCATCAGGCTCGTTTATCAATAATTCAGCAAAACTCCCTGTAATTAAAATTCCATTTATTCAAAAAATTATTAATCACAAGGTAGTAGTAATGGACTAAAAGTTTAGAGTATACATTTTTATTTTTTTTAGACCTTTTTTGAAGGTGGTTAAAGAAATTGTCAAATATACAACATTATGGCATCGTGTGCCATTTTCAAGTACGTGTTTACCTCTTATTTAAATATTATTATTATTTTCCTTAACATATTACATATTACTTAACATATTTTTAAAATTATTTCATTATTTGTTTAATATGTCAGTTTTTCATGTTTAAATGTTTTTTGTCTTTCATTTAATTATTATAAGTAAATTGTAAATTCAGTATTTCCAATATTTTTGAGGGCCAATGGGGTACTCGATATTCCTCCATAGACCCACTCACATCACACATTCACGCTAATAAATACATTCATTCTCAACACAACCTTTATGCTCATATTATACAGCTAACCTAATTGAGAGTCACTGGGGTACTCGATATTCTGCCATCGACCCACTCACATCACACATTCACGCTAATAAATACATTCACTCTCTACATAAGCTCAGTATTCACAACTGCTATTACTATATATAACAGAACAACCCTGTTTCCTCCTAGAATCGAGACAGGGGACCCAGACACTCACCTCATGCTCAAGTACAATTCTCATAACAGGTGGAATTCCTTCGCACTCACTATATGGAACCAAGGTCTTGCATCCTTCAACAAAGACACATCTGACAAACTTTCTCTACATACCAGACACTTTGGGCCAAGAGTGTCTGTGTGTCAACCTTGCATGGCCTATTTTTAACTGGGTGAGGATGACAAGTCAGACCCTCTGAGGGCCACCCATCGCTCTTCACAAGCAAGAGATTCTCTGTCAATACATGATACCTATTGATGCTACCACTGCTATTATTATTATTTTATTATGTTGTACATAAAGTCCTATTTGTACCTTTAAAATAAATAAATAAAAAATACAATAAACTAAAAGGGGGAGACCCTTGCTGATTAATTTATCGCATGTAGAATATAGTAAAAAAGTCAGAAAATAGGAATTCCATTATATTATTTTTGTTGGTAAAAATGGACAAGTAGATCTATTTACCTGCATATTCCATCAACACCCTTATACATATTATACAATTAACCTTGGGTTAATGGGATGGTTGATGGAGCACTCGATAATCCACCATAGACTCTCTCACATGACACATTCACGCTAATAAATACATTCAGTATATAGTATTATAGTAGTTACAAATACTATAAAACTAACCTAATTAAGAGCCGATTTAAAATAAATAAATAAATAATAAAAAAAATCTAGGGGAGATCCTTGCTGGTTAATCCCTAGTATCGCATGTAGAATATAGTAAAAAAGTCAGAAAATAGAAATTCCATTACATTATTTTTTGTTGTTGGCAAAAATGTATAAGTAGATCTATTTACCTGCATATTCCGTCATCACCTTTATACATATTATACAATTAACCTAATTGATGGTCAATGGGGTACTCGACATTCCACCATCAACCCTCTAACATGAAACATTCATGCTAGTATATACATTTACTAAAAAAACATTCCACCTTTACAATTACTATAAAACTAACCTAATTAAGGGTCGATTTAAAATAAATAAATAATAAAAAAAAATCTAGGGGAGACCCTTGCTGGTTAATCCTTAGTATCACATGTAGAATATAGTAAAAAAAGTCAGAAAATAGAAATTCCATTAGATTTTTTATTTGTTGTTGGTAAAAATATGTACAAGAAGATCTATTTACCTGCATATTCTACGAGAAGAGGGAAATCTAATTTAAGGGTGTAAAAGAATGGTAGAGTTAATTCGTTACGATAAAATTGGGTATTTTTAATATAATCTTGTGCGGAGTTTCCTAGCTCGATTAGGCCTTCTGTTTTGTCCAAATAACGAATTATATCTATTTTGTATACTAGATATTCCATATTTGGAGGATTTTTTGTTTTACACTTTAATTTTTTTAACTAGGGTGTCTGAAATTTTATTTAGTGTTATAGATTAATGGCTGGTTTGGTGTTTAGATGATAGATTTTTGTTTTTTGATAAGAAAATACTTTTTATTAATTTTTTGTTCCCCTGTTGAAAGTCAAGAAGACGTCAGACGTCGTACGAGATGTACACCTCAGCAGAAATAACTTATCTGCGAAGGTTATAAACAAAGTAGTTGGTACTGTGATAGATATGAGAGTGAGATGGAACTAGGAAGTATGAAGTAGGATGGATTGAAGCTACCAGCAGGAAAATTGTGGACATGAAATTGACGAAGGGAGGGCTTTTGGTCGTGGTCGGGATCGTCGTCCTGTCTGCGTTCCTGGCCAACGTCGCTCAGCTCATCGCCATCGAGGCGGCCGAAGGCGAAGAAAGACGTTTCGACGGCCGACCCGAAGACGTCTCGATCGGCGACTCTGCAGACAATGTCGTCTGGTTCGTCCAGGTAAAAAAAATAAATAAATAAATAATTCGCCCGCAGATTTTCTGGATTATTAATCCAAATTGAAATTTACAGATTTCTGACCTACATTTGAGCATATTCCAGGATCCTGACAGGACAATTGAATTCAGGGATTTCTGTGAGAAAACACTCGAGATAATCAAACCCCCTGTCGTCCTTGCCACAGGTAATTTCTTAGATTCTTTCAAGTTTCAAGTTGCTCCATGTATATTAACCAAAAAACAAAAATATTATAGATGTAGATGTATTCCGATCGGGAAGTAATGTCGTTTCTGACCGAGTCAACATTCATTTGTCATTTATCAGCTCATTGTGTATAGGAAGCGAATAGGCACAACTCGGCACATAGTATACCTACATACCTACATGCATTACATCTCATTCACACAAAAAAACATCAGGACTCTCTGCTATGCCTAAAGTTTTAGAACAACGTTAGGTGCGGTCTGGTGTGACGTAGGTTTTAGAAAAACATTTTCTTTATCATGCCAACGTTTCGATCTTTATTGAGATCATCTTCAGGGACTGGGATTTACAAACATTGCTTAAATTTTACAAATACATGTAGGAAAAAAATGAATTTATACAATGCTAGAAAATTTTTTGTAAAAAATGAATTTATACAATGCTAGAAAATTTTAGATAAAAAAAATGAATTTATACAATGCTAGAAAATTTTAGATAAAAAAACAGAGCGAGAGAGAGAG